AACCAGCTAGGCAACATTTACCACCAACTTACAGTAGCTGCACCTTCACATCAACTTTGCTAGTGCTTACATGGGAGAGAAACAAAGGAGAAAAAACTTCAAGTAAAGCACCAGGACACTGTTTACCACTCATGTCTACCCTGGAGGATGCCATCGTGTTGCAACCCTGAATGGTTGCAATGTATATTATGTATATATATTACATGTATATTACCTTTTCATATAATTTTATATTGCTATATTTGCGATAATAGCTAAATCGAGAATATATTGCTTATATTATTATTTGACTTAGTTAAATGATTGTTAGGTATGATGTAACATATTATTATGTGCTCAGTTCAAGTCTTGATTGTCTAACTGCTGTAATTATCGCTCTTTGCTCGTTACTCTGCCGGCTTCTCGTTGTTGCTGAGCTGCAGCTGTCCACGGAGCTATCACGTGATCGAGGGGGGTGCCCTCACCTCGCCTGAAGTATTCAGTCTGGTCTAGACTCTCTTGGTGGTTGGACGTATTCCTGGCAAGAAGTACCTAATTCTCCCTTATTGGCCCTTGCTGGAAGATCGCCTCTGTAGCTGTCTTGTTAGTTCTGTAGAACTCTGTTCACAGAACATTGTATAAGGCTTAGTGATTTTTCGATGTTGTACTGAGGTTGTGTGTCGCATAGACACTCTGAGCAACTCAGGTCCTGAGCTGTAGCTTCTGACCTAACTTGTACTGGTATCTGTGTATTGTCACAGTCGGGGATTTTCTTATGGAAGTTTTCTTATGGGAGTATGGAGTTTTGTGGAGGATCTGCTGATGGTCCCTACTTAGTGTCGTTATATTTATCTCCGTGTTCCTGATTCTGTGTCGCAGTTGCTTGTTATATTGCTATTGGGCTTAGCATTCTTTTTATGTTCAAGCAGACTGTTCTGACTGCCAGTTGGTCAAGAAGTTAGCTTATGAGAGGACTTGTCAGTCACTTGTTTAAGTCTAGTCAAGTCTTGAGACATAGCGAATTACTTAGAGCACTTACACACAAACTTACTTGTACTTATTTGTATATTGTATTAAATGTTAATGTACCAGACAGTACTTAAGACTTATAAATGTGATATGTGCTTTCAGCACAATAATACTGTACATGAGAGAAGTGATTATTCTTATTTTGTTGATTACTGTGATTAATTTAATTTGATATACGCCTAGACAACTTAATTAATAAATTTATTAAATTTTAATTTCTCTAGTTAGTAGCCTACCAGTTGTAATCCTAAAGCACTGTTGAATCATACTGAATTCTAATGGATAAACTGGACAAGGATACTGACTAATTGTTACAAAAACCCAGTAACAGGCTGGATGCTAGAAGGGCAGTCCTTTCTAGTATTCACTGGAGATCTCTAAGCTTTTAGAATCGCGTTTTTTGTAACAAATGGGGGCCCGTCTGGATGCTCTTGATCCAAGGGTTGGAGAGATTGTCCAGTTTGACATACAGTGGACCCTCGACTAACGCTATTAATCTGTTCCTGAGAGCTCATCGTTAGTCAAGTTAATTTTCCCCATAAGAAATAATGGAAATCAAATTAATCCGTGCAGACACCCAAAAGTATTGAAAAAAAAAATTTTAACACATGAAATATTAATTTTAATACACACAAACTGAAGAAGACATGCACAGTTACATGACACTTACCTTTATTGAAGATCTGGTGATGACTGATGGGATGGGAAGAGGGGTGTGTTGATGGTCTTAGTGTTTAGAAGGGGAATCCCCCTTCCATTTGGACTTGAGGTGGAAGTCCC